GAAAGGAAAGGAAAGGAAAGGAAAGGAAAGGAAAGGAAAGGAAAGGAAAGGAAAGGAAAGGAAAGGAAAGGAAAGGAAAGGAAAGGAAAGGAAAGGGGAAAAGAGACACTTTCTGGGACACCTGCACTCCTAGTGCAGGGTGACACAATGACATTGCTGGAAGGAGAGGCCAGCTCCCAGGGGTGATCTCAGATCCCAGGGCTGATCCCAGCAGAGCAGCAGTGCCCAGAATACCTCTGCTCCTGCCTGGCTCTGCTGGGACAGGGCTATTCCTGGAGCACCCAGGGAGCTCCGTGCAGTGCTGGTGTTTCAGGGCTCTGTGCTGCCACCCAGACACAAATCCAGCATTTTCTCTGCCAAACAGTGCAGGAAACCATGTCCTGCTGTCCCTATATCCCTGCAGTCCCATCTTTAGCAGGTTCTTCCTGGGAAGCTTTTCAAGCCAGGATTGCTCCTTGCACTGCTCTGCCCAAGTGCCAGCAAAAGCCCAGGGTGAGGCAGGTTTTGTTGGGAAGGATTTGGATTTCAGCTCTCAGGCAGCAGAGTCCCCTCTCTGCTCAGACCTGCTCCATCACTGGCACCAGGAGAATCCTTCAGGAAAAATCCTGAAGGTGGGCTGGAAACACCTCATGAAGAACAAAAGGAAGCAGGGATAATTTAAATTAACTGCTACCAAGAAAAAGGCAAAATAAACTGACATTTAGGCATGCTTGACACGAGAAGAATTCTAAGCAGCATCATTTTAACAGTTTTAAACCAAAACACAGGAGAAAGGGGTTTTGTGGTAGGGTGACCACGGGACTCCAGTGCTCCCAACAGGCACAGAACTCGGTGTGCAGCAGCTTTCTGAAGGGCTTGGGGAAACACAGCCAGCAAAATTCATCTCCTCATATACAGGAGGCATTCCAAGCTCTTTCCTGTCACTACTCAAAAGGAGAGGGAAATTTAAATGTGTAACACCTCCAAACCATGGCCCAGTTACCTTCAAGTTTCCCATTAAGAGACAAAATTAAAGCAAGGTCAAAGCACCTAAAAATATTCCTGCACTGAAAACTGGGATGTGTGAGGGGTGACCTGAACAAGGGCTCTGCAAGGTTTCTTTTTCTGGTTATGATTCCAATCCCCCTTTCCCTCTAGAGCTTGAAGATATCAAAGGCACCAGAAGGGGAAATGTGAGAGGATTTTCATGGATCACTCCAAGATGCAGCTGGGCTCAAAGGAGTGTCCAGTTTAATTAATTTTGGTAGAGAGAAGCAAGGCTGCAGCAGAGGTTTCCTGAGACAGGCAGGAATCAAGGATGAGGCTCTTGCCCAGAATACCTGGGGAGGATGGAACAGGAAGGTGCAAAAGGAGCTGGAAGAATCCCTTGATGAGGGAAGGACAGAAAGGCCTCCCAGGAAGGGGAATTAAGAAGAACTTTCCAGCACCTGTTTCCTCTCCCCTTCTCCCAAGACCCCAGTAAGAGCAGCAGCACTGCAGAGTTCTCCAGGGCTTGCATTTCATTCTTTGGGTTTCTTTTCATCCTCAGGCCTCCAGAGCTCCACACCAGCACTGCAGGGATTCCCCTGGGTGGAAATGCAGCAACCAAAAATCCCCTTCCAGGGGGGAGGAGGGGCTGTCCTGGCCAGGCCTGGCAGCTCCAGGGCCAAGGAAAAGGGGGCACAAAGAGATCCCTGCTCCAAGGCCCCATTTCCCCAAAGCCAGCATCTGCTCAGAGCTCAGAGCTGCCCCCACACAGCACCCCCAGAGCTCTGGGGATCTGAGCAGGAGCAAAGCCTCCCCCAGAACTTCAGCAACAGCTGCTTGAGGGAAGCCAGCCTTGGAATGAATTCCCAGCAAAGGCCCCAGACACTGCCTTTAAACCCTGGCATTCCCAACTGCTCTTACACCACTGCCCTAGGGATTTTTTGCAGTCAATCCCAGGGTGGTTTGGGTGAAGGGACCTAAAGTCCATCCAGTGCCACCTGTGCCATGTGCAGGGACACTTCCCACTATCCCAGGCTGCTCCAGGGCCCACTGCAGGGAGGCTGGAGGGACTCAGGAGCAGCAGCACACGAAGGGAGGTGGCCCTGCATGGCCTGGGCTGCTCTGCCACAGGCTCTGGGGAAGCTGTTCACGAGCTGTCAGAAAATCCCTATTTTTGGAGCATGAGCACTCTGGCATTCAGCACCCTCCTTTCCCTGTGCATCAGCAGTGAGAGCTGCACCATAATTACAATCAGCAATTAAATCTGTGTCTAATTGCTTGAGCACCAGCACGACCCATGCAGGTAAATATTAAATTACAGATCTGCATGGGCAGCCCAGACAGTGCCACTGTCCCTCACATCTGCTTTAAGTGCAATCCCCATTTATTATCCCATTTGCCAGGAACAGCATCTGAGGAGTATTTAAGTGTAAATGACCTGTGGGAAGTGAGTAGGATTAGTTCTCCTTGCACTTCAATCACAGATATTGGCTTTTCTTCACCCAGAGTGAACTCCCCCTCCCTGCCAAGCTCTGCTGGTGGCCCTGCCTGGCAGAGCAGCAGCCAAGCCCCGAGGCAAACACTCCCAAAGGGCCTTCAGAGACCAGAGCTGGCACAGGTCTTGCTCCACTCCCAAAGTTACATTTCCCCTCTCCAGGAGTGGTTTGTCACCTAAAGCAGCCCAGAGGAGGCAGCAGGAACTTAACATTTTAATTAGGATAACATTAGGAGATTTAGTAATTTGAGCAAAAGGGCAGAATGGAAGAAAAAAATCCCCAAGGAAAGGAAAAGAAGGAAAATGAATCTGCTCCACCTGTGTACCCTGAACACCCAGCTAAGCTCCTCAGAGGCACAGGGTGCTGGAATTCCATCTCCCACAGACTGATGGATCCTCCCCCCTGGATCCCAGGGCCTGCCCATGCACCATCAATTCCCAAACTCAGCCCTCCCTGCAGCTGGGAATTCCCCAGCACTGCTCTGTGCTTCACCTACAGCAACACTCGTGCCAAACCTTGCCCATTTTGCAGCTTTTATCCCTAATTTCAGGCTCCCAGAGATGTCAGGAGGTGTTTTAGTGTCCACAAATCCCTGTGAGCTCTTTCCCTGAATGTGTGCCAGGCTTTCCCTTGAAATCAGAGCTGTTATCTATGATGATAAATTATTATTGATGATTATTAACCCAGGCCTAGCTCTGTATGATGAGGAGGCTTTTCCTCTTTTGTGAGGGAGCTGCTGGAGGCAGGCAGTGCCATTGCCATGGCCGGGGAAGGG